CGGTGCCGAAAATAACTAAACTATTACAACTACAGTACCATGGCAGCTCTTGCGTTATTGGAAGACATAGCTTATGGAAGAATTAGAAGAGAGCGCATATTCAGGGATCATAGTGATCTCTTGGCCCATGATGATGACTGGCTTCTAAGTCGATTCAGATTTCCAAGAGCAATCCTTTTGGAGCTGTGTGCTGAACTGGGGCCAGCATTACAAAGGCAGACGATGAGGAATCGCGCTATAGGCTACCTGTTCCTTTACATGTTCTGTCCACTCTCGGGTTCTTAGCAACAGGTGCTTTTCAGCGAGAACTTGCGGACCGATCGGGTATTTCTCAGTCAACACCAAGTTGTGCCATGCCAGCTGTATGGGACGGCATAATCCGCTTATCACCCAGATATATGAAATTTCCTTACACTGTGGTTGAACAGGCAAAGATTAAAGTGCAATTTGCAGTGATGACCGGTTTTCCAAATGTAATCGACTGCACACACATTGCTATAAAAGCACCTTCAGAGAATGAATTTGCTTATGTAAATAGAAAGCACTTTCACTCTATTAATGTACAAATTTTGTGCGATTCGAACATGCGTCTCATTAATGCATGGGCGTCGCTGCCATTAAATCTGAGGGGGACGTGTCCCCCCCACAGTTAACATAAAATATTTGTTTCATGCCAGTGTGTCCTCCCCCCACCCCACATTCAAAATGCTTCCTTCATTAATGTAGTGGTGAGATGGCCTGGCTCAACCCATGATTCGTTCATTCTCAGAAACAGTAGTGTTGGAAACAAACTTGAAAATGGGGTGGTATGTGATGGCTGGCTGCTCGGTAAGAATATTTTCCCAATTTTATAATTTGGCCCAATATTCTAAGCTTTGTTTGATTTAACCATTTGACAACTCCTTAGGGGACAGTGGGTATCCACTGAAGTCGTGGCTTCTCACGCCGCTCGCAAACCCACTGAATGAACAGGAGGCGTGATGCCCTGCATTCTCGGGCTCGGGCAGTGGTAGAGCGCACTGTAGGGCAGCTTAAAGGCTGTTGGCGCTGCCTGGACGAGACCGCTGAGGTGCCACTATACAGCCAGCAGAAAATGTGTTGCGTTGTACACGTATGTAGTGTGTTGCATAATCTGGCACAAAATCGTGGCTTGCTGGTATCTGAAGAGCTTAGGCAAGATGAACCTGACCCTGAGCCACCAAATTTTCCGTCAAATGGAACAGCGTTACAACTTAAGTATCACACAGCGTATCATTTAGATGTTTTAATTCATTGGCAACACCTTGCAGCATTCATGATTTCTTTTTGTGACTGCAGCACAAATGGATGGTCGCCCCCCGGTTTCTGAGGCATGGGAATGTGTGCAGCCAACGCCCCAAGATTTGCTCGGCACAGCAGCACCATCACCACCTGTGTCGTCCTCGGCACTGGGGGCACCTCTTGTACTATTGTCTGTAAGAATAAACAAACAGAATAAACAAAAGTTACACCGCATCTGCACCTTACTTGTTATTCATAAACATGCAAGTAATTCAAACAAGTATGGTACGAGAAAAACTCACCTGCGCTGACATCGGCGACCCCCTCCCCCGATAAAAGTGTGAGACCGGGACTTCCACTTCCTCCGTCTGTGCTGTTAAGACTCTTACGGTGAGTGGCTCGTTTTTTCACGCCGACTTTAATGTCCGACTACTTCTCTAATTTCGGCTACCGTGCGAATTTCGGAACCAACACTTTTAACTGACTCCACGCTGTGCCACTCCATCAACTTTCGTTTATTGCTGATGCCACTACTTAAACCACCAAATAATATCACTTTTCTTTTCTCGATTTCTGTTAACATGACCTCCACTTCGCACTCGCTGAAATACTTCTTTTCCCCACGTGGTTTATCCATCGTTGTTTAAGAAAAGCATAGAACAAAGCGGTTATTTATACAGATTTACATATGCAAATATACATAATTGTGGGCGGGTCGGGGAGTGGCTGTGGACTCGTTCACGTACATAAATTTCACGCTCATTGGGATTTATAAAGGGCATGTGTGTAGACACCCAGACTTATTCCTCAGGGCCTTAGCCCTCCCAATCCACCAGCTATTGCAGGCCAGGGACGGCATAGGCCTCTCCGTCATTCAGAGGAACAGGGGGAGGCATCGCCTCACCTTCCCTCGCCAGGCGAGCCATGCAGTACCGAATTGGCTTGAGAAGGGACACATGAAATATGGGGGAAATCCGGTACATCTGAGACAGCTGCAGGTGATATGTGACTGGGCTCCCTTGGCGGAGAATGTGGAAGGGCCCTATATAGCGGGGTGTCAGGTTGCAGCATCCTAGGGAGGCGGAGGTTTTTCATGAACAGCCGTACTTGGTGTCTGGGCCGGACAGTGGGAGCGAGTCAGTCTGCACCTTTTTCTGTCAGGAGCAAGTCAGCCTGTAGCTTTTGCTGTCAGAAATCTGCATTTAACGGTGGGCTTGTCTCCATACTGTGTGGCTTCCCCTGAACCAGTCTTCCACAGCAGGGACAGAGCTGGGTGGGCAGTCCCACAGGAACAACAGTGATTGTAATCTAGGACTCACTGGAAAGGGGAGAGCCCCTTTTTGGGGAGTATGTGGGAGCTCATGGTTTATTCCATCCAGTGCAGAAAGCAGGCGCAGTGCACAGGAAGGTCTGCACACAGGAAATGGGGTGCGCTCAGCAAGTCTGGGGGTGGTAGCTGGAGTGTGACCAGATTAGGCGGGACCAGAAGGCACAGAAGGCCCTGGTGGTGAACTGCAGATCCTGATCCAAAACGAGGCCTTCTGGGATCCCAGAGAATTTGAAAACCTTGGTTAGTAGGATCTCACCCAGGTCGCTTGTGGTGGGGAGTTTGGGCAGAGGTGACAGCCTGTACATTTGCGAAAAGCAGTCCGCCACCGTGAGGATCACCGTGATACCTTGGGAGCAGGGCAGGTCCGTGATGAAGCTCAGTGCCAGTTGGGACTAAGGATGTTGGGGCACAGGCAAGGGCTTCAGTAGGCTGGCACGGTGGCAGATGTTCGCCTTATGTTAGGCGCAGATGGGGCATGATAGGACATACTCCTCTATGGCTTCCCTCCAGCCTGGCCCAGTAGGGGCGGGCCAGAAGACAGGCTGTGGTGGCTACCCTGGGGTGTCCCGAGCTGAAGGAGGTATGCATCCACTGTAGCTCTGCAAGCCAGTGGTTGGCAGGAATGAAGCGCTTGGCTGGGGGATAGTTGGTAGGCATGGGCTTGTAGCACTGGGCCTCTTGAATTGAAATGTCGAGGTCCCAGGATACCAGACTCATTATAAAGTGCAATAATGAAAAACGACAACAAATCAAGTGTGATTACAGCATATTAAAAAATGAGAAATTAAAATAACTGTAAAACTGTGTATGCAGTTTTAAAGAATGCATACACACGTGTGTGTGTGTAACTGTGTGCATGTGTCACCAGCCATTGGAGCGTCAAACGGTGTTCAACAGTTTTAACTGCTGGGGACCAAACTATTTTTCAGTCTTGTGGCGCCTGAGAAGAGGGCAGCAACTGCAGGGTGGGCAAGATCTCTAACTATGCTGAATGCCTTGTTCCTACATCTAGACAGAAAGAGGTCCTTAAATGCCGGCAGTTGAGTGTTGATGATGTTTTGGGCCATCTTAGTAACCTGCTGCAGAGCTTTCTGGTCCTCCTTCCTGCTGCTGGGATGTAGCACGTCAGTAGACTTCCCAGTACATTGTGTGACAGGGGAGATGTGTGTTGTCCGGGAGAGGTCCTTGGCGATATTCACCCACAAGAATTCAAGATTATAGACTCTGTCCAGTACCTCACCATTGATGATTACTTTTATTCATTCATTCATTCTCATTTGTTTGTTTGTTGGTTTTTGTTTATTCTATATGCTAGCATGCCCAGGAGGGGTTGGGCTGCTATTTGACCTGATGTTTTTCTTTCTCCCTGCTTGTCTTGTCTTAGCTGTGTCTGTATGTATGTGAGCACTGAGAACCACTGGAGATAAATTCCCTGTGTATGTGTGAACTAGTGCTGAGTGGTATACCTGTTTACTGGTTTGTATTTCCCACACGGTATGAATTTTTCATATACAGCTACTTGGAAAGCACAGAGAGAGAAAATGTCAAATGATAAACCTTGTGCAGTGAAAGTAACAGAAGCCAATATATTGTTCTTGACGACTGAACATAAGGTGCCGTAACGATTGAATGTAATGGTGGTACGTGGAGATTGTAATAATTTTTGAGGTGGTATGTGGTGTAAAAAGTTTATGAGCCACTTCTTCATAAGTTTTTAGATACCCCGTGGCATGTTACTGAATCATGAATAGATGTGCCGCACTGATTTATTGGCAAATTTTAATGTACAATCTGTATGTCATTTTTACTTGCATTTATATATTTTATGGAAAATGTATGTCTGTGTGTGTGTGTGAGTGTGTGTGGGGGGGGTAATTTCGATATTATTGTTTATCCTGAATTTTTTTAATTAATGTATTGCATATTACTTTTTCGGTACTCATATTTGGTCAGAAAAAACATCTAGGTATGGGAGCTGATATGATGTTCTACAAAAAAATCTGCCTTGCAACTAGCATGGATGCGTTTTTTCCATTACATTTCCATGTACTGGCATAAACCAAGAGCTGAAACAGCAGCTGTAATGCTTCAAAATGCAGCAAATTATGTAATATTGTTTGCTGCTATAAGTGCTATGGGTCGCTGTGCAGATTGTATTGAGAGGGGACCCCTGTTAACTGTGTGTATCAAACTGACTAACAGCTGTAACTTTATAACACAACAATTTCGCATATATAACTCCTTAAAAATTCTTTTCGAGCTACATGGTTATAATCAATAAAACATGTTGCTCTTGAGCTGAATATATATTAATAATCTAATAAAACATGTTAGTTATACTATGAAGCTAAATGTAAACTATTTGTAACATTATATTAAGAATTTCTTAATAATATTATTCATTAATAATTAATAATAATATGGCTATATACAAGAACCAAGACTGGAAAGCTATGCTGGAACTACAATTGAACTATGTTACCAGATTAATGGTGAAGCCCAGTGCTGTGATAATGCTGTAATAATGCTGTGATAATGATCTGGCCAGCAGACACTTGGTGATAGACAGTGACACACCAAGCAAAAAAAAAATAATATTGGACGAGTCTGGGCCCAGCTCTCAGATATATACAGATGGCTAGACAGTTAATTTGAATGAAAGTCCACCCCCACCTCAAGTGTCAAGGGAGAGGGGTGTGAGATGACTGTGCTGACGTAGAGCCGATTAGGTTCCTATATCATTAACTCTATGTGACACAGTATCCCTGAAGGGACCAATTTTATATTCCAAACAAAGCTCAGCTTTCTGCTGTTTATGCAGATTGAGCTTCTGCATTTGCCTGTATTTATCCATTACTGTTCTAACATTCTTTTACCTTAGAGTATTTATTCCTGAAATCCGCATTAGAAATATATAAACTGTGGACAGGTTATTTGTATATAGTGTAAAATAGGGGTGCATTGATACCCTAGTGCAAGTACTAGGGTCGATACAAAACTCATTTACTTGTTCTCTTCCTTGTGACAATGCCCCAATGCCTATAATTTTCACCGTGTCATCACGTATTAGTGATGTCACTAACAAGCAAAAAAAAGTGTGTAGCTTAGTTTTTTTTCCCTGCTCCACCTCAAATGATTCAGCTCAAGGGCTGTGTGGTAATTAGCACAAGGAGCTGAGTCAGATGTGTTAAATGAGGGGAAACCAAAATCTGTGCAGGACTCTGGCCCTCCAGGACTGGAGTTTGAGACCCCAGATTTAGAGCATGTATGAAAACAAGTTCATACAACACAAATAATGCAATTAAACATGTAAAAGCTAAACAGAAGTATGATTATGATGCAATTGCCCCCAGCAGCACTCTGCAACAACCCACCATGCAGCAAACACTAGCACAGAGAGAGAAAATGTCAAACGATAAACCCTGTGCAGTGAAACTAACAGAAGCGCTAACCCAATATATTGTTCTTGACGATTGAACATAAGGTGCCGTAACGGTGTCGAGATTGTAGTAATTTTTGAGTTGAGTTGGTATGTGGTGTAAAAAGTTTGTGAGCCACTGCTTTATAAGTTTTTAGATACCCTGTGGCATGTTATTGAATCATGAATAAATCTGGTGCACTGATCTATTGACAAATTTTAATGTACGATCCATATGTCATTTTTACATGAATTTACATATTTTATAGAAAAAAACAGTTCCCCACTTTGTGCTAGGTGCATGTGGGTGTGTGTGTGGGGGGTAATTTTGATATTATTGTTTATCCTGAATTTTTTAATTAAAGTATTGCATATTACTTTTTTGGTACTCATACTCGGTCAGAAAAAAATGGTACTGATGCATCCTTAGTATAAAGTGCATATAATGTGTTTTTCGTTGCCTGATTTGTTGTGGAATAGTAATAATCAGCTATACTGAGAGGCCACAAGTCACAAAAACCTTCTGAACTTCATTTGGAAAGTGAGAGACTGCTTCTATACATGGTATGGTATGGGAGTGGCCTAAATACCCTGTACCCTAAATTGTTTTTTATCGCTTAATGGTTAAAGATGAGATATTCTGAAGGTAGAATCAGATCAGTCAGTTTAAACTGCAGATGTCTGAGTATTCTATTTCACATTTACATTTTATATATTTTGATAAGTTGATACAATGTTCTATAAAAATCTGTCTTGCAACTAATGTAGGTGTTTTTTTCCAGTACATTTACATGTAATGGCGTAAACCAAGAGCTATAACTTTGAAATAACAAAAACACAAACATTTTTAAATAGCACAAACATGGTACAAACAATTGAGAGTGGTTTGGCCCAAACAGGACACACGGTGGTGAGATCACCATGTAAACAAACATTTATATCTCCAAAACTAAAGCAGCCCAAAGCATGTCAATGTAAATGGTAATGTATATTAAGACACACAAAGAAACACAAGTAATTTACTAATTCTATTCATTTTCTATAACTGCTTGTCCTATTCAGGGTTGTGGGGGGTCTGGAAACTATGGGTGCAAGGCATGGAACAACGTAGGATGGGGTACCAACTCATTGCAGGGCACACTAACACACCTTTAACAATCTGAAAATTCCAATTAACCTCAGTGTGTTTTTGGACTGTGAGGGGCTAATGGAGGAACTGGAGTAGCAAAAGGAAACCTCATGACAATACAGGGAGAACGTGTAAGCTCCACACACATGGAGCCATGAGATTCGAATGCTGGTCCCAGCGGTGTGAGGCATTAGTGCTAACCAATGTACCACTGTGCCACCCAAAACCATCTAACTGCTGGAGAAAAAACTGGCATGTACAGTACTGTAAGTGGAAGTGCGATAAATGATTAGGTATAGTTTCAGAGTTACTTATCACAACTAGGACTCAGAAAACACATTAAAACACATTTGTTGGCTTTCACATTTCCAGGTGATCCATCCAGTACTTCTAGAAATCGTACTTAAGAGAATGGCGAACACATAATTACTGTGATAATTGCCAATTAGTCGGGTTACTTGTCTGATATTGTCCATTACAAATAATTTCATCATATTGCCCAGCCCTAGGCTGGCACCGAATAACCATATGGGCATTTGGCCACGTGCCTAGGGGCACCTCGTCCTTAGGGGGCACCAAGAAAAGCAGCCCCCCATAAGCCTCCCCCCCAGTCCCATTCCCAAATGTTTTTTTACAAGTTCATACGGTTCAATATCTAATACGTTTAATAAGATTATATATTTTATATATTTTAATATGGAAGTCACTAAAAAGCCTATGTAATGTTTTCCCTGTGTTAGGTGCATTTATGTATTTTGTGAGCCAACAATCAGCTCTGTTTCTTTCTGAAGTGACGTAATACTCTTAATCCGGATCTGGCCCTAGGTGCCAATGTAAAAATGGTTAAGCCCCTCTGTCAGGCTTGTACGCGTACAGACAGACAGATACAGTCAGCCTTTCTGTCTTGTTCAGAAGAGCGGGCATCCTTAGGCATATAACTGAATAAATCCCTCTTTTGTCTGTACAGCATATTATCTACTTTCACCCACTTACTGTCATGCCTGTGTTCTCTGTCCTAGTTGAGTGGCAGACCATGTCTCAGAAGAAGATTTTTCTGCTCTTGGTGGCGATTAGCAGCGCGCTCCTGCTTCGTCACGGGGGTCATGTGAGCTGGTGAGAGCTTTTCTGGCATTCAGCATCTGAACTCACAGATGTACATATGAACATATGAACACACAGACACACAAGGCATGCCTGTTTAAGGATGCAATCTTTTTGACAGCATGAAATGATAACATTTGTGATGCAGAATTTTTCACTATTGTTTGGTGATTACTGCTTTCAAACCATAAAGAAGTGTTTTGAAATGAATTACTATATGGACCATTTGACTTCTGTTTGTCTGTGCTGTATACCCCTACCTTTGTTTGTACTGTTCACCCTACCTATGTCTCTGCTGTATTCCCCACCTTTTTCTGTACTGTACACTCTCTCAAAAATCCTGAAAAATCCTTTTCCCATCTCCTCCTCATATTATTGTGTAATAGTTTTTTTTTATGTTATTCACTTTTTTATGTACACATAATCCAAAAACATATGACCCTATTGTGCAAAGACAAACTACCTATTTCATTTATAACTATCTTGCATCTCTAGTCAGCTTCTTTTGAGGAAATCGTGTTGCTGAAGAAACACATTACCATTTCTAATTTTTTTTTTAGGTTTATCTTTGAGTGCGCTTGTGTTGGTCTGGAATACATGGAATATACAGTGCCTATAGAAAGTCATCATATCCTTTTGAAATAGTTACTTTATTTATCGTTCAGCCTGAATTCAAAACCTATTCTGAAAATAAAAACTTTAACCAGCTTTATTTACAAACTTTGCCTTACAACATCAAAGTATTCAAAAGAAACTGAGAAAATTAATTAAGAAATGAAAAAGCAAAATGACAGGCTTGGAAAAGTTATCAATCCCCTGATTTAGTAGAGCCACCTTTTGCTGTAATTACAGCCGTCGATATTTTTGGATATGCCTCCACTAGCTTTGCGCACCTAGATTGGGGAGTGTTTGCCCATTCTTCCTTGCAGAATTGTTTGAGTTCAGCAAAATTCTGTGGTAAGCAGCAATGGACTGCTCTCTCTATTGGATTTAAGTCAGGCCTCTGACTTGGCCATTCAAGGACATTCACTTTCCTATTCTTAAGCCACAGTGTTGTTCTTTTGGTGCTATGTTTACAATTGTTGTCATGTTGGAAGGCGAATGACCAACCTATATTCAGCTTTCTAGATGAGGGATGCAGGTTTTTCTCAAGAATTTTGGAGTACATGGCAGCATCCATTTCCCTTCAATCCTGATCAATCATCTTGTTCCTGCTGAGTAAACACATAATGCTGCCATAGTGGGTATGGTTTTTTTGGATAGTATGCTGTGTGGATAGCTTTGTGTAAAGCTTGAGAGATTGTTGTCACATGCATAGGTTGACCAACCCTAGCCATGAAGCCTTGTAGTCCGTTTGTATAGTTCTTATGTTCTTATGTTCAAAGTTGCCTTTGGCCTCTTGGTAGCCTCTCTGATCAATGCCCTTCTAGCTCAGTCATCCAGTTTGGACAGATGGCCTGATCTAAGCAACATGTTGGTGGTGCCATACACCTTCGACTTCTTAATCATGCTCTGAACAGTATTCAGAGGGATAGCTAAAGCCTTTGAAATCTTATTGTAGCCTTCTCCTAACTTGTGCCTTTATACAGCTTTATCCTGGAGGCCTTTTGAAAGCACTTTTCCAACCATGTTGTTTTCTTTTTCCGAACCTTGCACTACTAGTAGTGAAATCTTCAAGAGACAGCTGATTTTGTTCTGAGACAATCAGAACCATTACAAGTGACATCAGGTGGGGCAATTAGCATAGTGTGTGATCTGACAGCTGATTGGTTGCATCTGAGCAACTTTAGAATTGTACATTCTATGGGGCTGATCACTTTACCAAACCAGGTATTTCAGTTATTGATTTTTAATAATTGTCCAAAATGTTTTAAAATGTTATTGTCATATTGACAATGAGGGCTGTATTTTGTACATATAGCTAAAAAAATTACATTTTTTAATTTTCCAGGGTATAATGTGACAAAAGGTATAGATTTTCACAGAGTATGATGAATTTTTATCGGCACTGCATAGCCTAATGTCTCTCAAATGTGACTTCTCTCCCCCATTCAATCTGATTTTAGAGAAATGGTTACCTTTGCAAACTGAAGAATGGATATATTGTGTTTCAAGTATAAAGTATACCTACTGTAGTGAACTATCCAGTTTTTAGTTATTCTTTTATTCTGAAACATCAGCATCGGTAACTTCAAGCTGTTTAGAATGTTTTACTGCAGCATCATGTTTTGTGTTTATTTCTAATACAAGTAATGAGCTTGTTGACACTAAGGTAAAGTATTTTACACTAAAATTAAAATATGTCTACTCTAAACATTCAGTATTTTGGGGATAATTTTGCTCTTTGCTTACCATTCTCTTTCTCATCTATCTTGATTCTGTTGATATTTTTTGTTACTAGTCTTTGGTGTCAGTGATGTTCTGAGGTTGGTCAGATGGAAGTATTAAAAATTGAATTGCATTGAAAAAGCCCAAAGTGGATGGCTGGATGGATGGATTAATAGTGTGATAGCACTTACTATGCTTACCAAAGCACCTTAATAGTAACTTTTAAGAAAATTAGTTCCAGTTACTTTGAACGATTGGAACCTTTTCATTTGTGTATTGGGATGTACTGCAAGTCAATTCTGATGCTCCAAAAGAAAACATGGTGGGTTGCATGAGTATACTGATTACAGGATGACATCAGCCCTCACTTATTAGTCTAATGTAGAAACCAGTGCAGATCTGCAAGCAGAAATCATCACACAACATTGTTCATGTGTGATTCATGAAACATTCGTATCTCGCCAATCACAGCATACGAATGATCGGGAATAGATAAATTTGATGAATGAAAATGTTATTTAAATATCATGCCCCTATTTATTCTCACTTTTGAAGCCTCACCCCTATAATTTATAACATGGAGAAATGAAATACGGCAAAGAAGATGAACTTTTCCAGCTTGGAAATAGACACGTTAATGTCACAAGTTCAGTTGAACCAGTTGGTTCTACTTGGCATTGCCATTGACAGCAGAACTCCAGCTGAGGTTTGATTATTTTATTTATACACCTGTGATACGTATAGCATATGTACGGTACGTTATAGTAATAATAGCCTAATAATAGCCTATAATCTTTTTCCACGATGCTGTGGCCCATGGGCACAGCAACATGCTGATTGGAGGAGGCCAGCTAGACCCCAGACTTGCATTGTTGCAGACTGAGGAGTGTGTGGCTGTGCTTAACGAGTCTCAATATGGGGCATAACGACTGTCAGAGGACACACAGATGCACCAGTTTTGTCAGTCAGAAAAAGATAAAATAAAGAATAGCTGAGATAGTATTTTTGTACCCCATACAGTCAAACCTCGGATTGCGAGTAACTTGGTTTGCGAATGTTTTGCAAGATGAGCAATTTTTTTTTATAAATTTTAACTTGATAAACGAGTGAGGTCTTGCAATACAAGTATTATGTATACGCTTTGTCTGCTGAGCGTCACGTAATCACAACTGAGCCGATGGTTCTTCTCTCTCTCGCTGCGGGATTGTAGGTAATTGTTTCCTATGCTCGGTCCCAGTTGGCGTGCCTCACTCGTATAGTCAAAATTTTGTAGAAAAGCACCACCCAAATAAGGGTGTAGCAGTGCGAGTGATGAATCTGTTTAACAACAGTGTAATGTCCACATTTCCGCAAAATCGAAAGGGAGGCAAAAGTGGCTGTTATTGGATAGGTTGGATTGGATAAGTCGCACAAAAAGAAAAAGATTCCAGTGAGCCAACAGATAGTAGTGATTCCGTTAGTTATAGTGAAAGTTGTCCTACAAAATAACCCTCCTCTTCTCCTCTCTCTTGTCTCCCTCACACCATCCACAATTCTTTTCAAAGGTAAAGTGCAGGATAATTGGTTTTATGTATTTTTACTTTATATTTTGTATGAATCATTTTTATATGAATATTTTTGGGTTGCGGAACGAATTATCTGAGTTTCCATTATTTCTAATGGGAAAATTCAATGTAGTAGTTATTAACCAAGGAGATGCAGGGCGCCCTCCTGTAGCCGTGTCCCTACACTGTTATTTTGGGAAATGAAGGAGTAGTACATACCTCCAGGCCACCAGGCTTCCACGTCTAGGTGAGATTGATGAATGCATATATATAATCATTCATGGATGGTGGCTTCAGACGCACATGGGTACAATCAATCACATCAATTACAGTAGGAAACCCAGAAATCTCATAAAATTCTTTCTTACTCATGATTCCCAGTTTTCTGGGACTTATTGTAGGGAAATTGGATGTACTGAAGAGAAAGGGACTTTACAACCTCCAATACTGCTGACATCGTTTTACTAATTGTGGGCTGTGATATTCCAGACCTTTCCCCGATCTCCACTGAAAGGTACTGGTAGCCAAAAATCCCAGAATGAAGAGCACCTGCATTAGCAGGTGTGGCATTCTCTCCTTAAGTGAGGTGATACCTTGGGAGACAAAACTGACTTAATAACCACTTGTCACCCTCCAGAAAAACCCTCTCATATGGGATGCACAGAGATCTTCTAAAAGAGCCCAATCTGCCATTCCCAAGATTTGATGAATGTCAAGGTTCTCGTTTAAATAGGAGAATGAATTAGCATCTAAGCTCTCACGTTGCAGTTTTCTTGATCTACCCATTGCTTTTAGTCAACGTAGAGTCAATGCAGGCTTTACAAAATATATTTTGCCATAGCCTACATATTTCTAAGTCAGAATATATGATAAATCTCATACTCCAACAGATTTGCTATGCTGCATGCCAGACCAGGATGAATTGAAAACTTGCTTACACAAGTTGGGAGCTAACGTGAGATCATGGTTTGAATTATGGGGGGTACTGGGGGATACTGTACCCCCTGATCAAGACCTAGACCCCCCCAAAGAGACAAAAATAGCAGTTTGAGGGGGTCTTAAAATGTTTCTTTTGTTGTAAAAAAATATATATATATTTTATGTAAAACGATTTCAGACACCCCTAATGTGGACCGTACCATTTTAACTACCTCGGCGCTAGAAGCAGCCAGTCGGTTGCATCATTCATTCTCATTGTGTTCGTCTGTCATGATACTGTTTGTCGTGCATTGGTAAATGTAAGTAGCCAGCAGAAGTCTAGCCTGTTGAAAATGTGTTATTTTACAACCTTCATTTATTCATTTAAGTGTTTCATCTACTAATGCAAGCTGCCGTCTTTATAAGTTGAATTACTTACCATTGTCCTTCTGAGGCCGGTGTTCTGTCGAGTTGAGCTACTTTGTCGAGGTAAGCTACGGTAGTGCTAATCGATAGCCCTAACAATTGCTTACCTCGACAAAGTAGCTCAATTTGACAGAACACCGCTACAGTCAGTTATGTGACGTTAGCAAGCAAGATAAGCTAAGTTCTCTATTTAAACCAGGTTTATTTGGTGAGGTAAAATCATGGTCAGTTTCCAAGGAGATGAACTCCCTATGTTTTCATTCTCATTTTATCATGAATAAATTGTGCCTTTATGAAACTAATTCGCCACTTAGCCTGTGTGGTTTGTTATTAGGCTAATGTTAATGCATAAGAAGGTCTAACGTTATGCTCTGAAAAAACATTACTATAAGTGAAACCTATAGGGGCAATGTAAAAAAAAATAGCTAGCAAATAATAAGCCCTATTATTTGAATTTTAGTAGTACTGATTCTGCACTCCACAATTTCATATTTATTGACATTTTTAGAAGCTTCATCTGATTTTTTAAACATAGATTAGATTTTATTCACAGACACACTATGAGGAAAAGGAAAGATGGAGACATCAGACCCTTTTTTTTCGGTAAAAGAAGAGTAAGTAGGAAACATAAGTGTTAAGAGCTACAGAACATTACACTAAAAGTATAGGTGCAATTTTGCAAACTGTTAATGTGTATGAAGGAAAGTGGTGGTCAGCAGAAGGCAGGAGAGGCACAGGAGCAGGGAGATGGCAGGATGAGGACAGTGTGCAGGACAGTGAACAGGCAGCAGGGAGATGGCAGGATGAGGACAGTGTGCAGGACAGTGAGCATGCAGCAGGAAGATGGCAGGATGAGGACAGTGTGCAGGACAGTGAGCAGACAGCAGGAAGATGGCAGGATGAGGACAGAGCGCAGGGCCAAGAGGTGAGTTAGAAATTAGGCTGAGCTTTAAGATCTACTGTGTCATCAAGACATATATTAGCCTAATAGGCAAATATTTATTTCTGGAGGCTGTTGGAGCTGGGGGGACTGAGAGGGCAGGAATAACACCAGACTGCTGGACCAGACCAGGCTGTTTGTAAATGTATAGGCTTATTACTTTTACTAGTATACTTCTTCTAGGATAATTCCTGGGAGTTATCAAAACCAAAATCTTTTGGATTGGGATAAGGATAATGAGATCTTCTGTATTGATTCTCATTTTGTCGCATGTCCAGACCATGACCGTGTGTTGCAAACATGTTAGTAAACACCCCTACGCATCTTGCACTCTTAACATTGAACCTGGTGGCAACTATTCATATTGACGCGGTAGCGAACCATAATGGTCATAGAAGTGTTATGAAGGCAGTACCCCCCAATTATGGAGGGGTAATTCGCACTCTGTGTGAGATTAGGTCATAGCTTCCACTCACATCCAAGTTGATCAATGGCAAGCTTTGCATGGAAATGTATGCACACTTTTCTGTCGTATACTTGTTTCATAATTGAGGACCATCATATTTTATATACTGCTCAGCTACGGATCAAATATATTATACAGGTTTGTACATTAAAAGATCCATAGAGTGATATTTTCTTGTGCCAATTACATATGAACCAGCAATGACACAAGTCTTCAAGAAACACAGTGACTGAAGTTCAGTGACTGTGTTTGTTTTTGTACCTGATTGTCTCATTAAGAGTGAACAACCTGCACTTTGTCAAACATGTCATGGTTGCAAAACTGACATAATACTGTAAGGTATTTATCATTGCTAATTAATTAATTTCTATAATAATTTATTGAGCAATTTACATTCCTGATAAAGCAATATCTTTTATAAACAACATCGGGTGGTTTTACATTCTCCTCTTCAGCACTGTTAACGTGACTATGGTGATTTTTTTCCATAGATAAATTAATGCAAGATATATTATTGATACTCATAGTTTTGTCTTGGGAAATAGTTTATACATTACTAAGGGAAAGTTCAATAAAGTTATGTTAGGTAAATTTATAACTCCCCAATGATATATTGCATAATTTCAGAATGTAATTATAGCTTTAAAGTTATCAGGTAGGCATTAAATCATGGACTGAGCAAATGCTGTTTAAGAATTTACGATGTAGAATACGATTATGCATAAAGAAGTTGGTCTGATTTTATTAGTTTTTGAATTCTATACTTAGTGTGTTCTTTCAGACACCAAGCATTGCCTTATTTTCCTTGAATCAAATCAAGAATTTCCCCAGAAACAAATGAACTTTAGGATTGTAAGAGTAAAGTACCTACTGTGACAATAACACCTGATGTAACTGATTATTCATGCATTAACTGTCTTGCTCCATGCTTGACTTCCCCCATCTTTTTTCGTCACCTTGAATGCAGGACGATGAGGCCTTTCCACCTGGGCTACTCCTCACTGCAGTCATCCTCTGCCTCAGGCCTGAAGACCAAGCACACTAGCATTGCCTTCTTGAAGACGCATAAAACAGCCAGCACCACTGTACAGAACCTCCTCTTCCGCTTCGCTGAACGCAATAACCTAACGGTGGCGCTGCCAATCCAGGCGTGTGACCACCAGTTCTGCTACCCACGGACTTTCAGCACCCGCTTTGTGCATTCTCACACCATGTCCCCCCAGGTCATCACTAGTCATATGCGCTTTAATCATTCTGAGCTGCGTCGCTTAATGCCCAATGACACTGTTTATATAACCATTCTGCGGGAGCCGACTTCCATGTTTGAATCCCTCTTTAGCTACTACAACCAGTATTGCTTGAGCTTCAAGCGTGTCCCTAATGGATCTTTGGAAGCTTTCCTGGAGCAGCCATGGCACTACTACCGGCCACATGAGAAAGACTCCATGTATGCTCGCAACACGCTGACCTTTGACCTGGGAGGGGATAAGGACCGGTCACCCAAGGACAAAGCCTACATCAAAGGCTTTATTGGCGAGGTGGAGCGCATATTTTCGCTGGTGATGATTGCAGAGCACTTTGACGAGTCATTGGTGCTGCTGCGCCACCTGCTGGCCTGGGACCTGGAGGACATGCTGTATGTGAGGATGAACATGCGCAGGCCGAGCTCCCGTCGCAGCCTGGGCGCTGACCTGCCGGCTCGCATACGCAGCTGGAATGCACTAGACACGGCGCTTTACGAGCACTTTAACAAATCACTGTGGGAGCGGCTGCGAGCACTGGGGCTGAGCAGTGTAGGGCGCGAGGTGCATTTGCTCCAGAGTGCCCAGGTCAGACTGGTACAGGGCTGCTTTGGGGGCCGCCTTCCCCAGCTGCGACCTGCTGCCTTCATTAGGAACAAGGAGCTCCGGCCGTGGCAGCCAAGCCCCAAGGTGGATATCATGGGCTATGACCTGCCACCCAACGCCTCACGCCTGGGCAGAGGGGCAGGCGCCATGTCACATGACCTATGCGTCAAGCTCCTCATGCCGGAGGTGCAGTACTCCCGGCTACTCCTCCGCTCTCAGTCTCAACGTTACCGCCGGAGCCACTCGCTGTGGGTTCCTCCGCCTGAGCGTCCCATCCTGGCACACGCTCACTCGACAGTACGGTCTCCTCTGACCCTTCCCAGCCCCACTCTCAGCTCCCAGGCTACCGATGCCCGGAGGCAGGCAGGGGCTGTGCCCCAGGTGCTGCACAAAGAGCTGCTGTAGGTTTGACTTGACTCCATGCTTTTAACAACAAATTTTCTGCCCTCACAGGAGTGGTTGGTGCACAACAGACCCTCATCCATCCTCTCAGAGCACACACCATCACACTACAGATTCTCCACTTCCTCCTCACTACAGACCTTCCCTCTCATCTTCCACTGCTGGCATCATTACACACTTCTGCTGCAGTGCAGAATTACCCCAGCCCTCAAACTAACCCTTGGATTATCATCGGACAAGGTCTAGTGTAGTGTTTCCCAACCCGGTCCTCAGAGACCCCTAGACGGTCTGTTTTTACTTCCTCCCAGAGAGTCCATGTTTTTGCTGGGAGGTAGCAAAAATGTGGACTGTCTAGGGGTCTCCGAGGACCGGGGGAAACACTGCACTAGAGGGCAACCTCTAGTTCAAATCGTAACTTTTGTATACCAATGCACATTGAATAGGAAGGTCTCAGGCTATGAACACTTAAGTAAGTTTTCTACACTTATAAGCAGGTTAAGGATCTAGAGTGGATATAAAAAGTACACACATCCCTGTTAAAATGCCAAAATGTTGAAAATGAGACCATGATAAATGATTTAAAAACACTTCTCACCTTTAATGTGACCTGGGGCAGTGTGTGGCTCAGTGGGCTCAGCCTGTGTGCCTGTAATCAGAAGGTCGCCAGTTTAAACCCAGCCTCAGCATGTCTGCGGGTCCTTGAGCAAGGTCCATAATCCCCAGTTCCCTGGGCACTGCTACAGGTGACTGCCCTTCACGGACAACTTACTCTACAAAATAGAGCAAGTTGAGGGAGGTGTAAAGACAATTTCCCACAGGGATCAATAAAATGTTTATTATTATACCCTGTACAGTTCAACTGAAAAATAAATTTGTTAGGGCAAAAAATGCACACCGTTAAACTAATACTTTGTTGAAGCACCTTTTGATTTAATTACAGCATTCAGTCTTTTTGGATATACACCTGCCATCAAATAAATTAACTCTGATTAACCCCAAATAAAGTTCAGTTGTCGTAGTAGAATTTTCCTGACATTTACTCTGTTGCAGCCTACAGCAAAAGCCATGGTTCACAGAGAGCTAACAAAGCATCAAAGGGATCATTGTTGAAAGATATCATTCAGCAGAAGGGTACAAAACAATTCCACTGCATTAGATATACCTTGCAACATGGAGTGAAGTGGAGAGTATATGGGACAAAAGTGGTTATCGGTTCCTCAACGTCCTTCCAAAATTGATGAAAAGACAAGATGAAAACTGGTCAGGGAGGCTGTCAAGAGGCCTACAGCAACACTGAAGGAGCTACAGGAATTTCTGGCAAGTGCTGGTTGTGTACTACATGTGACAACAATCTCTCTTATTCTCCATATGTCTGGACTATGGGGTAGGGTTGCAAGATGGAAAAACATCCTAAATTTTCCAGAAAAATACATAGTCTCCCAAAAGCATTTGGGAAAATGTTTTATGGTCTGATGAAACCAAGGTTGAACTTTTTTGCCACAGTTCCAAAAGATACATGGCGCAAAAATAACACAAAAATATCACCAAAAGAACACCATACCCACGGTGAAGGTTGGTGTTGGCAGCATTATGCTTTACAGTTGTTTTTCTTCAGCTGGAACTGGGGCTTTAGTCAAGGTGGAATACTTCCAAATACCAATAAATTTTAGCCCAAAGCCTTTAGGTGTCTGCTAGAAAGCTGAAGAGGAATTTCACCTTTCACACCAATGACCCTCAGCATGCATCCAAATCAACAAAAGAATGGCTTCATCAGAAGAAAAGTTTTGGAATGGCCCAGCCAGAGCCAAGACCTAAATCCAATTGAAAATCTGTAGGTGACCCTGAAGAGGGCTGTGCACAAGAGATGCCCTTTGAAGAGATTTGAAGCGCCTTTGCATGGAATTGTGGGCAAATATTGCCTGATAAACTCCTACCCAAAAAGACCGAATGCTGTAATTAAATCAAAAGGTGCTTCAATAAAGTGCAGATGCTCCTCCACTTACGAATGAGATACATTCCGAACAGCCGTTCATAACTTAAAATGTTCGTAAGTCGTTATTCAACATAATTTTAAGGGTATACACAAGTACAGATAACTAGGATATGCTGGGAGTACACACGCTACGCTGCTGCATGGTGGGGGTAGCGGCCAGAAGTCGTACTACCCGGAATTGCCGCACGGAAAAAAAAAATGATGTTGCAGACAGGAAACAGGAGCGCAATTAACACAATTTGGACTTACAGTCCTCTTTGTTCGTATGTCTGAAAGCTCGTAAGTTGAGAGTTCGTAAGTAGAGGAGCATCTGTATTACTTTAAGGGGGTGCACACTTATGCAACCAGCTTATTGTACTTTTTTTTTTTTTAACATATTTTTCACCCTAACAGATTTTTTTTCAATTGAATTGAACAGGTTTTAGGTTGCATTAATGGTGGGAAAAGTTTTTAAATGATTTATCGTGGTCTGATTTTTTTACCTCAAAAAATCCTGGCATTATTAACTGGGGTGTGTGCACACTTTTCATATCCACTGTATCTCAACAAACCTGTAGTGCACCTGTGTAGGTATGTCTTTTTTTGTCTTGTGAGAAGTTATTGTGATAGTATTTTGTCAATAATTATCAAGACCTTCTGTGTAAAATATATCAACCTAGACCCCAAACTAATTTGGATTTATCAGAATACTGTATAATTCAAAACCACATAAGCCACAAGAAATGAAAAATTACAAACATGTCATAAACAGTATGTCATAAAAACCAAATAGTTGTTGGCAACACAAGTCTAGATACTTTATCTGCAGTTATCCACTTGCATGCCATTTGCTACAATTAGAAAAAACCCTTAAGGAGCCAAGTAGTCATGGTGCAAAGACTGTGAGATTTCCTACTCAAAATGCATTTTCCAGGCTGAGAAAACACGCACTTTGGAATTTTTCCCTGCCGAACGGGCAAATATCAGACATGATAATATGATAATGTGTTTCTGTTCATTATTTATTGTAGTTTCTTTTTTCATGATAGATATAAATGGTCAATGCAAATTTGTAAATGTTGGGTTGCTCTAAATTAACATTTAATGTTTCGGTTTCATTTAATGTTAATGTCTGATAAAAGGTGTTCATAAATAAGAATGCAGGTACATAATGTTAATAACTTACATTGTTGCACTTACCTTGCTTCTGCACTAAATTGCTTGTTATGAAATGTGCATTTTTCTGTCAGCATCTGCTTTTCCATGGTTACTTTATGGCACGTTATGCAGCATTTAATTCATGTTTTATTTTTTAAAAATGTAAGACACTTAGTTGCTCATTTAAAGCTGTTGTTAAAACAACATGCATGTTGTATTTAAGCTTTTCATTAAAAATTCCATTGTTTATTTGGTTTGAAATAACAAGTGATGAACAACACCTGCAGTTAATATCCTGCACAGCACATTCGTACACAAATGCATGTCAGCTTTAAATGCTACAACACAGGTAACAACTGTGACTGCAAAAACAAAACCTAAAGTTTATGATTTTACTGTACTTCAGATGAATGTAAATTTGAAAGAAAAAACAACCAGCTTTATAAAAAAATTTGTAACTGATCTATTGTCACACAAGGACTCCAGGCACTTGGTAATATTCTTTTTATTTGCTTCCTCAACTGATAAAGTAAAAGTAAAGAAAAATCTGAACTGGAGGGCCTCACCTATGCCAGACATTCTGCCCGAGGGGCTCGAAGTCCATTGAACAGGAAACAGGTAACTGTTGGTGCTGGATGAGGTGTCCAAAGAAGTCTCAGAACAAGAGGAACCAGGAACAGGAACTAGGACACGTAGACCAGGAGATGGGGCTGAAATATAAAAACAGAAAACCCACCACAACAACTCAGACATGAAAGCTAGAGGAGAATGTACACAGTAAACAATCCTGCAAACAAAACTACAATGGACAAAAATAGCCCCAGAAAAAAGAACAACTGACAGAACCTAGCCAAGCACTGAGCATTGCTCGAAAGAGCAATCGGACTGAGCCCAGTATTTAGACTGGAAGTGCAGTCTAAATTGACCTTGAGGCACCTACCTCTGGTTCAGACCAAGGACACAGAGTTGGCTCAGTCAGAGTCACCAAGGTAGCTCAATGCACTGCCATTGAATTTACTACTTTAGTTTTGAAATACCAACTCAATTTAGGGCAGCCCCAATAGAAGGAGCTTAAGACTTTCTGCTGCCCACAGAGCCTAACAAGTCAGTGATTCTACTTTCTGTGGAAATGCTGATGAAACTCACTTTTAACCTGGATGAATGAACAAAATAAATCTCTAGGTAGGCTGAAATATCTGTCAAAATACCTCAAAATCACATCACAGTGAAGGATTTACATTTAATAAATAAATTGATTGGTTTCTTTCCTGAACTATTTATCACTTGCACTCTATAAATTTAGTTGAAACATACTCTATAAATAGAACAAAATCATGCAAAAGCATGAATTGTAATCATGCAACTCAAAATGACTGAATAGGGATTGTTAAATATAAATATGCATGACAAAACAAGCGATCTGATTAGTGGAGTGGCCAAAACTTTTGAGAATTACACAAATATTGTTTTTCACAAAGTCTGCTGCTTCATTGTTTGTAGATCTTTTTGTCAGAAGTTTCTATGGTATACTGAAGTATAATTACAAGCATGTCATAATGCCTGCTGCCATTCCTGAGCAAGCTCTGCACTGCTGGTGCCCTGATCCGACAGCTGTATCAGCTTGAGATGGTCCTGGCACTTTCTGGACTTTCTTCTTCACAACAACAGAAAGTGTTGAAGTTCTTGATGACCTGATAAATGGTTGATTTAAGTGCCATCTTACTAGCAGCAATATCCTTGCCCTTTTTGTGGAAAGCAATGATGACTGCACATGTTTCCTTGCAGGTAACCATGGTTAACAGAGTAAGAGCAATGATTTCAAGTACCACCCTCCTTTTTAAGCATCCAGTCTGCTATTCTAACTCAATCAGCATGACAGAGTGACCTACAGCCTTGTCCTTGTATACACTCTCACCTGTGTTAACGAGAGAATCACTGAAATGATGTAGGCAGGTCCTTTTGTGGCAGGGCTGAAATGCAATGGAAATGGGTTTTTGGGATTAAGTTCATTTTCGTGGCAAAGAGGGACTTTGCAATTAATTGCAATTCATCTGATCACTCTTCATAACATTCTGGAGTATATGCAAATTGCCATCATAAAAACTGAGGCAACAGACTTTGTGAAAATCTATATTTCTGGCATTTGGCCATGGCTGTATATGTGTGGTCAGTGTTCATGCTGTATATATTCATGCCATTTTGAGATAGAAAAAGTCTTGTAAATAAGTATATGTAATTTAAATCAGCTGTAAATGTGTAGCTATATTTTAAATATGATATTGTATGCAGTTGCCAAGTGAACAGCACAGAAGCATCACTCCTGCTAGCTCTTTCTATCTGCATTGTGTATGCTCTCCTCAAGGCCATGCAGGCTTCCTCTGGGCTCTGTAGCTTCCTTATGAAATCCAAAATATATGCTAATATTATAGGTGAACTGGTATTTCTAAATCACCAATTCTGTGTGACTGTGTGTCCAGCCATGCACTGGCATCCTGTCTGGGGTGTCCCCTGCATCATGCCTNATTCCCTTTGGTCTGAGCTCCGCACCTGCTGAGTTCCAGAGGAGCATGGAACACTGTATGGCAGGTCTCAGAGACACCATTTGCCTCCCTTACCTGGACGATAACCTGGTGCACAGCAGCAACTTTGAAGAGCACTTAGAACACATCCGACTTGTCCTCCGGCGTTACCAGGAGCATGGTGTTAAGCTGACCCCAAAGAAATGTCACCTGTTCAAGCGCAGTGTCAAGTTCCTGGGCAAGCTGGTAACAGGTGAAGGTTATACAATGGACCCAGCAGAGTTGGCCCCGGTGATGGCCGTAAGAGAAAAGACACCGGCAACCATCGGAGAGGTGCGTCAAATGCTTGGTTTTCTCTCTTACTACAGACCATTCATCCCCGACTTCTCCCGAATAGCCCATCCACTCTATAGCCTGGTCAGTCCTTCCCCTTCTGGGAACACTGGTTCAGCCACAGCGGATAAGTTAAAAAAAGGGATGACGAAAAGTAAAGGTCACTTACCGTCACGTACGCCCATTCAGTGGACCAGCTCCCACCAGGAGATACTGAACCAGCTTGTGGATGCACTGACCAGACCTCCTGTCCTTGGGTACCCTGACGTCACTGAGCCCTTTGTGTTACATTGTGATGCGTCACAGGTCGGGCTAGGCGCCGTTTTGTACCAGCGACAACAAGGCAAGATGAGAGTGATAGCGTATGGCTCCCGCACCCTGAGTCCGGCAGAGAAAAAGTATCATCTACACTCGGGCAAGTTAGAGTTTCTGGCGATGAAGTGGGCCATTTGTGAGCGCTTCCGGGATTACTTGTACCACGCCCCCTCGTTTGTGGTGTACACTGATAATAACCCGCTAACATATGTGCTCACTACTGCAAAGCTCAATGCCACAGGTCACAGATGGGTTGCGGAAATGGCCAACTACAACTTCACCATTCGCTATCGTCCAGGCAAGACCAACGCCGATGCTGATGGCCTGTCGCGGATGCCGCTGGACATCGACAGTTATATGAAGAGCTGTACCGCTGAAGTTGGACAGGAAGCCATAAGTGCGTCTGTGGAGTCCGTAACAGTACAGCGGAGAGACCCTTGCCTAGGCGTTGGAGTTATCCAGGTTCGTGCTCTAAAGTTGATTAAGGAATCTGATATTAACCAGCTGGTCACACCAGACCAGATTCGTGAAGCGCAGAAAGCAGATGAAGTCCTGTCAAGAGTGCTCTGGTACAAGTCACAGGGTAGAAGGCCATGTAGGACCGAGGTGAAAGCAGAGCATCCCGCTGTAGCTGCGCTGCTCAAGCAATGGTTGAAGCTCCATATCGACCAAGATGGTGTCCTGCGCCGCCGCACAACCCGTCGAGAGCAGCTACTGCTCCCTAAAGCCTATCGTCCCCTGGTTTTTAAAGAACTCCATCAAGACATGGGCCACTTAGGGGTGGAAAGGACGCTTGACTTGATTCGAGACAGGTTCTACTGGCCGCAAATGGCGAAAGAAGTCGAACATTTTGTTACAGAAGAATGTAAGTGTAGGATGAAGAAGAAGCCGAGTAAGCAGACCCGTGCACCTCTGACCTCGATCCAGTCCACTTACCCGTTCCAGATTGTGTCCATAGACTTCGTCCACCTGGAAAAGTGTAAGCATGGCTACGAATACATACTAGTAGTCATGGATCACTTTACGAGGTTTGCCCAAGCCTATGCGACGAAAAACAAGGCAGCTAAAACAGTCGCTGACAAGCTCTTCAATGACTTTGCACTCAAGTTCGGCTTCCCGACCAGGTTACACCACGACATGGGCAAAGAGTTTGAAAACAAGCTCATGGCAAGATTGAAAGAACTCTCAGGTATCCAGGGCTCCCACACAACACCCTATCACCCGCAGGGAAATGGACAGGTGGAGAGATTCAACCGCACCCTGTTGTCCATG